ACACGCACGATCTCCGCAGAGGGTTGCGTTTCGTGGCGGTCCGGCGGCACTGCCCCCGGCCTTAAGAGAGAAAGTTAAGAAGAGCGAGAGGTGAAGATGTGAGATGTAGATGTGAGGTAAAGATGTGAGATGTAGATGTGAGGATGTGAAGATGAGCAGAGATGTAGATGTGCAGATGTGAACATGAGCAGAGATGTAGATGTGTGAAGATGAAGATGAGCGGAGATGTCGATGTGAGGATGTGAAGATGTGCAGAGATGTAGATGTGCAGTTGTGAATGTAGATGTGAAGATGAGTAGAGATATAGGTGAGAATGTGGATGTGCAGAGGTGAAGATGTGAAGATGTAGATGAGACGTAGTTCTGCAGATGTTTTTTTACGAAGAACCCTTCGCAGGCGCTCTCGGGAAAAGGTGACAACAAAAACGAAAAGAATGAAAAGTTTTAAGGTCGAAAGAAAAGAGTAGAAACCGGAAAGATTTTGTTTTTGCTTTTTTGTTGCAGTAAGGGGTAATTGAGAGGCATTATTTGACCCGCAAGTTACCAGTCTGTGAGACTCTTGGGATTCATGCCCATCACGGGGCAATCATCCAAATTCCACCTGCCTTCGTCCCCTTACAGTGCCCAAACTAGTAACTACAACAATGTTGCAGCGAGACCATTTGTCAGTCGGGGCTGCAGCAGTTCCAATGTAAATAGTTTCACATACTTTCCGGCCAGGTCCTCTATCAAAAACGCATTGGATCTAAAACCAATGAATTGGCGGTAAGCCAATTAATGCCAGGCCCCACGCAGGTGGCCGTGGCCAAGGCCAAGCACGAGGTCTTCAAAATGATGGAGGTGCCAAACGTGCCACGACCACGCGCGAGCCGGGCAAGCCGGGCAAGCGCTTAGACGATGAGGCTCATGTAGGCAGCCAGGCGTAGGTTGCGTAGGAAGAACGCCGTTGTTAAAAAGGCGTGGAGAACTGTAAGATCTTGCCGCCTGGGTAAAATGAACATGCTTTGTCACATATCAGTTGAAGCGATAGTGTATTCCTACATCCCACCTTATTCGTCTGTTCAACAACATACAGCAAGTGCAGCAAAGTGTCACCATGCACTTGAATTGTTTGGTTTCCCAGGAAATGGGACAAATTTAGTTCAAGTCTGTCTCACGAGTTGGGGCAAGACAAGTGCTTGTTTGATGGGCGGATGCCCTCAGACCACGTCACATCAAATGTATTCTTAATGTTGGTTTTAAAAGCGAAGGCGGGAAATCATCAGGACAGTCACCCGAACTGCCTGATTGACTTAAAAATCAATATGTTTGTTCTGTTTTTCTTGGGAACTTTGGACCCCTCTCTTCTCTTTTCTTCTCTCTTGCATACAATCTTGCGAGACGTCTTGCCTATAGTTCAGGCTGCCTTGCAGCCCCATTCCAGGATCTTGAAGATCCCATGCCAGGCGCTGGCCATCCGAACCCTCAACATCCCTGGGCTCACACGCGCGGTCACCGGGACGCCTGGAAGGCCGAGCGGGCGTGAAGATCCAAACAGCAAGTTCATGCCAAAAAGGAATTGTAAAGAAGGAAAATAATCCCTTGATATGCTTGGAGATGGATGGCATCCGGGCCCCGTTCTTTTCACGAATGCTCCTGCGCAGGGTTCTTCGAAAAGAACTGTGCGCAATTCTAATTGCTTTTCCGTTCTCATGATTAACCTAATCCTCATCATCATCACACCCATGCTTGAACATCAGTAGAGTTATAGGTGTTCTACTGGTGAACAATACCAAAGATGCAGGGTGCAAAGGTAGGTGTGTGTGTGTGTGCGCGTGAAGATGTTTGTACCTCTACATGGGTAGAAACATTGGCGTGATTTCTAATCATTCCTTTATGTCTTGTACAGCTGCCAGCGTCTGACACGTACCGCGAGCCAGGGCCCTTGAGTCAATCGTGTTGAGATTCAAAATGGTAGCGGCGCCGGTGCTGGAGAACAGCCCGGACTCTGGAAGCGGCTCACCGATCCAGGAACGCTCATGTTTGGCAGCTTGTCCAGAGCTGGGGCTTGGTTGATTGCGTGACTCAAGCAAATGCCCCTTGCAGGGTTGCGTTTCAGATCCTAGAGACAAACAGCGGCTCCTACATCTGCACAAGAGATCGACCCGGCTGGATTGCATGAATGGGAGTTCTGGACCAAGGAGTGCAAATTAAACCACAAGATCAAGAAGAAGATGGCTGAACTCAAGCGCCTGCAGGCTAACAAGTCTAGATTATCATCTCCCGTGAGCACCCCAGCGCGTGGACGCAAACGACGTGGACGACATGGACCGGCGACCTTGCGCCCGCAGGAGGCAGGGAAGAGGAAGGAGCACGACATTGACGCCGTTGCTTCACCACGAAGCAGTGACCCTTTTGCAGTGATCTTTCAAGGGCCTTTGCGCTGAACTTGTGCAAAAAGCGCTTGCGGCCCTCCATGGAGACGCGTATCTTGCGGCGCAAGATTTGGGAGTAGACGTGATCGGATAGGTCAGTCAATCAGGAAACTGAGGACTATCATATTCCCGCGTCAGACGTTGCAAGCGAAAAACTTGCTCAGGATAGGTCAACAGTTCTGCGCCTTGGAGAAAGCGTCACACAAGTTTCATGTCGGATCCGTCCGCGGTGATGCGTGGAGAGCTTTTGTTGAAGACTGCTTGACTGAACCAGCAAGAGCGGGTCATGGCAAGGACTGCACGCAACAGACCTTTGATGCCTTTGCTGCATCAATGTTGGAGCACCATGGACGGATCCATCTTCGTGATTCCCGCGCCCTGGCGCCAGAGACATCTTCGACTACAACATCGTACAGGACTTGGCAGTCGAGGCTGAAAAGGACAAAGAAAAGAGAAACCTCGTGTCGCATATGGGGGCACCGATGCAGTTGACGACTCCCTGCCAGATCATTGCGACCTCAAAGAGGATGTTGAAACCGTCGAACCTGAAGAACTTGTCGAACACGGGCGCCAAGACTATACCCTGACTGCTTGGCATTTCATCAAGGGCTCCGAGGAGTCTGAGACCTCCTGGAAGGCCATACAGCCGTTCAATAGGTTGGTTGATGGCTTCAGCTTTTCCATCGTCGACTAGTGAACAGCCAGAACTGGCGAACTGCTCAGGACAGCTGCCCCAAGATGAAGGGCAACTGTCGCGGTGGTTGCGCGCATTGTTGGCACGGGCTCGCACAGCACAGGAAGACGTCAGTCGAACGCTTGACTCCCTGCTGGTGATGTTCAGGAACGGAGGAAGGAGAGTTGACTTGCACAGAACAGCATCAACGAGATTCGGCCAACGCCGGTGCTGAGGGAAAGTTTTACTTTGCATGGACAAGAGGGGCGCTTATCATCACACGGGCGTCGCCAAAGGAAGGCGTAGCGGCACGCCCCCCGCCTGGAACTCCGAGGTTTCCGCTGAAACATACAACCTGAAACGCACGCCGTCGTGGTCATCTCGGTAGCAGAGGTGATTCAGACCATGCGCGCGGAACCACATCAGCATGTTCATGAAGGAGAAGGAGGACAGATATGATGACTGAAGGCACCCTCGATCACGCAGACCTTGCTATGCAGACGTCCAAGGCATCATCGTGATTGCGGAGTTGTCCGCTCTCCAACCGAACGCTGATGAAATTCAGGAGGGCCTTGATCAAACAATGGAATTGCCAGTTGAGGGATCAGCATGTCATGGACAAACTGTCCAAGCCCAAGAGACGAATATCTACCTGAGAGAAAAGGTGATAGTGTACATTGACCGTTTCAAGTGAGATCCGGTTGTCGCCACCAAGTTCGCCAAAGATGCTTGAAGAATACAAGTATCAGGATAGCAATAATGACAACTTGCCACATGGCGATGTACAGTGCCCTCGCAACGCACGTCGCCGATCCTCCGCTTCGCGTCAACCTTCACCCTATACACTCTCCACCACGCTCCACTTCACACTCCCGTTCTCCTCGCCCATCGCCTTCGGAGGCTTCCATTCACCGGTGGCCCACAACGACGCAGCAGACTGATAGCATCAACCACATCCAATTTCAATCTCTGCCTATTGGACATTTCACTCTTCGTGCAGAGAGGAGAGGGTGACCGAGCTTCCTCTAGACCACGGATTTCCTGCTTTCCCTTCCCCTGACGCCCTCACATTCTATGGCCGCACTTTCTACCTTCACATTTGCATCTACTCTTTCACCACGTTTCATATAGGGCAAATCACATGTCCAGTTCATCTTTTCCAAACTTGCAGCCCAACCATCTCAATCTTGTGCATTCGCGCGCTCTTCCCTTTCCTTGACTTCGACGCCATGACCGCCATGCGTGCCAGCTCACCTATGCCCGAAATGGAAAGCGAGGACACCACCACCTTTGTCCCCAGCGCCTGATTCCATTCCAGAAGCTTCTTCCACCGCGGACACATGGGCCCAAGATTGGAGCATGGTGGGACTACAGCTTTTGCAGGGCACGGCTCGACCACACATCTCTGGGGCAACTACGGGGACAAGCGGCTTTGGTTCTACCACAGCTGACAACATACCCGTTCACGCCTTCACGGTGATCCCGCTTAGAACAACTACCCCGCCCGCTCCCATTGGTTTATTCACATTCATCCTCATGAGGAATCGCAAACTACATGCGGGTTTGGTGTACTCGCGGTTGGCGATTTCTTCTATCCACCAATGATACAGCTCCGCTCATCGAACTCATCCATGCTCATGAACAAACCCTTCGTGATCAGCCTGGACCGACCTCGTCATAGCTTAGCGGCGCCAAATGCCAGGCCGTAGAGTCCGCCAACGCTGGGACTTCTTCAAGGCGTGATCGACCACGCGTTCCAGCTTGATCTGTCCTTTGCAGACCCCACTACACCTTTTGCGGAGACTGGCCGGCCACCTTCACTCATATCAAGATCAGCGTCGTACTCCTATACCACGACTCCAATGCCACCGAGGAGGTCTCCCACGCTTCCTCTCACTTCCGCCCCATCGCGCACTATTGAAAATGAAAGCTGCACCATGGACGACCTCAAGGATGCGATCTTTTCACTTTTGCGCGTTTCCCTGGGTGGCAGTTCCCGCTCAAGGCGTCCTCTGCCTCTCCACCATGGGCGCAGCACTACATCAACATTAGCCAACCCGACCACAGGGCTTGTGTGGCGAGTACCCTTGCGACCTTTAAGATCCTTCGTGACAACTCCATTGCACAGGCCCCACAAGGCCCACATACCCCTGACGGCCTACTCAAACCAGTGTGAGCGCCATACGTTCTACTGACTTGAGCCCAACCCGCCCGTGCCTAAAATAGTCGCCCCCGCTCCGGGGAGGCGGCCGGCGTGTGTAATCACTAGGGGTTTGTTAGCTTAATTATTCTTCAGTTGAGGCACACATCCATGACCTAAGCTACGGTTGTGGATCGGAAGGGAAGCCTGATCACCCTCTTGCACCTGCTCTGGTAAGCGTTGTAACTACGTCCCACTCGTAAAGGTTGCCGGTGACTGCAGGATGATTCAGGTTCATTCGATTGTCACAACAGCGGAACCCCTTGAAACTTCTTGGCCTTGAGGCTTCTTGCACTGGAAGGCTTCGATGGTGGGACCCCTTGCGTTGAACCTTGGAAGTTTTGGCTTAACTGATGTGTGCTTAGGCTCCTTTTCTCCTCGAGGCCTCTTCAGGACATTATTATATACCGAGTGACGAGGAGGAGGAGCGGGAACCGAGAATCCCACATGTCAATGTGGGGAACACCGTAGCCTACTTCAAAACATGCACACCATCATCACCATCATGTTCAGCACTATGACAGTCCTACTTTAAGGTAGCAAGGTCAACCACCACATCGCACCATCACATCACAGCCCGACGTTTTCATCGTATCTATGGTGCTTTGCTTTGGGCGCAGCGGTTGTTGGACTCTTTCTTGTCTCCTTGCTCCTGCGAGCCTGCGATGTTTTCGGGCCACCTGTGATCACCTCACGCTGCAATTGGTGGGCGGTGTTGTTTGCTTGGTTGGCAGTTGGGTTTGTGGGCGCAACAGCTGGGCCAGCAAGGTACGATCCAGCTACCGGCAAGTGAGATGGGATAATTCTGGAAACCTGTTTTCGCTCCATGCGCTGTGTTGCTGACCAGCTCCCTCCCAAATCCAATGTTTTTGATGCCGTTGAAAAAATCAATCCCAAAACTTTATGTTTGTCTTGGGAGGGGGCCATGGGTCCGTTAAACTGACAAAAGATAGTTTGAAGGTGTGTTCTACCTTTCTTCCAAAAGACATGACAAAAACTTGTGGTGCACAACAAAAACAACAGTCAAATGGAAGATCTATAAGCACTGAACAGTTTGAGAATAACCTTGCCAAGAAAGCATGCGGAGACATGGTTTCCCTGTGCAGCCCGGGTTGGGAGCCCACTGCGGCATGCGGGAGCAAGCGAAAACCAGGCGCCGGCTGGAAACAAAAAGCAACTGTTTAGTTTCCCAACCTTTGTTATTTGAAACGCACGTGAGCACATGAAAGTTCAGAAACATCACGAAGTTTAAAAACGTACCGCCTGGAGATACACTTTTATTGATTTTTTCCGTGGATGGTGTAAGTATGCCCTCGTCCATCAACTATAGTTCCATTTGCAGATGGGGTATCTTTCGATTTCCAAGTCCGACTTGGGGAAACTGAATCCGAACAGTCTAGGAGGGTAGAGGTTTGGGCCAGGTCCATTAACTAGTTGGTTACTTGGTGAACGACTTGCCAGGCAAGGCAATGGATTCAAATGAGATTGCTTGCACCAAGACTATTGAGGGGTTCGCCTGCGTTGTCTCCACACATTTCTCACAGGTGCAAAGAGAAGAATCGGACTTGATTCTAAGAGTATGAAGTGCATTGCCCAAGGGTTGTCTACAATCACTCAATAGTAGTTCTAGTGGTATTGGGTACCTGAGTTCTAACCCCTCTAGTTCCATGGACAGGTTGCATGGCTTTGTGACTTAGCGGCCCAAGAGATTTCTAGCTTGATCTCAGCGCTCCCCTCTTCAGTGGCTTGGTCACATAGAAGCGGTCAAGTCTCGTCCAAGACACAGGACAGGCCAATAGAAAATAGGAAGCACCGTTGGCTTTGTCAATGTTACCCACAACAGGCTCACAGCAATCAGGGTCAGAACTCGCTTCATTGATGAATATCGAAGTATGAGTAGTTGTCGACCTCGTCAGAAGTTTGATGGATGCCATCGCTCGATGTACTGAGGAGCGAGGTGATTGAAATAGTCGTTTCCTAGTGAAGGGTGTGCATCCTTGTTACCCAGGATCACCAAGGATGTCAGCACAAGCACACTAGCGGTCCAGACGGAAGCTTTTCAAGTCACTTGGAAGCCGATCAGGCCATCCCACAAGCAGAAGTGGCTCAAGATCGAAAACACGAACTCTGGAGCCTTTTTGGGCCTAAATGCAAGGAGTGAAGTCTCTGTTTGGGGCTGTGGAAAACTCTCACGCTCAGGTGCAATGACTCGTGGGAACCAGCGCGACCGCGACCGCGAGCGAGCGGCCAATCGGAACGCAGGCCGGACGGTCACAGAGCCTCCTAGTAGCGTCCTTGCTCCTAGTAGTAAGGCCAGGAGCCCCTAGTAGCTTCTTGTTACCTAGGCACAGGAAAACCCTACAAACAGTTGTCTCTTCTCTCAAAGCGTCTGCCCCTCACCTTTTTTTGGCTGAGAGCTGCTCGTATTGGGTGAAAATAAAGCACGAACCCAATGTTGTGCACGGGATTCGCTCATTTTTCATTTTTCATGACCTGTCCTGTTGGTATTGGAGGATATTACTGCCATGTGGAGCTTCAGTTAGTTCATCGTTTTGCCCCATTCCCGTCAAAGCAACTCTCCAAGGTTGGGATGAAACCGGTTTTCGGCCCATCGTTGGTGAGATGTGTTGCAAGACCCAAGGCCTCTTGTGATTGCTCAGGCGCAAAGCAGAACTCCACCATCAAGGTGTGGGGGTGTGGGTTGTGAAGATCTCGCATGCAGATGGGAAGTGTCCCGTGAAGTTTCATTGCTTGTGCATTTGAACGGCAAATGGGAGAAGGTTTCTACTGAGACTCAAGAGAAGTGTTTCAAACCTGTTTTGTTTTGTGGACAAGACTGGGCCTAGCCACCGTTTTCACTGGCCACATTTTGGTGATAAATGGTTTTCTCGCATCAGCTTCCCACGCTGGTATCACATAGTATTGTGGTGCGTGGGGACCAATCTCGATGACCATTAGTTGCAGTCAAGCTTTTAATGGTTGCTTTTTTCCGATATTGTGATTTGGGCTGCTTCCAGCCGCCGTATAAAAAGAGTTTGTTTTTTTGTTGCTTCTGAAATCGTCAACCGAGAAAACCAAAATGTTAGGGCTACTTAGTAACAAGAAGCTACTAGTAGCAAGAAGCTACTAGGTGGAGGCCATCGCTAGGTTGGAGGCCATCGATGCGCAATGCTAGCAACAAGAAGATACGTAAATTTGTGCCGTCAAAACTGCTTTGGTTTTGAAGGCCAAAGAAGACACTGCAGCCTGGTGCCCGAGGTGTTCGGAGAAGAGGTGAGAGTCCGGGATGTTCGGTGGGCCGAGTGCACCTGGCAATGGAGTGTGGTAAGCTTGACCCAATTGACACAACCCCGAAGACGTGGTTTACAACAGTATCAGTATTCAGATTTGTTGGGTGTCCTTGAGAAGCACCCAATAGTGATCACTGCTACTCGTACCAATGACTTTCTGCAACGGATATTCCGCGCTGCTTGCGGAGTGGAACGCTCAAGAGCACGCTGAGGCCATCATGCGAGAGAAGCAGCGCCTCGCGGAAGAGAAGAAGGCCAAGTGCATGGGTGTTCTTCGGGAATTCCTTTGGCAAGAGCTTCCAGGAATCCTACGGAACACGGCATTATCGAGAATTTGTGAAGGGGCTGAACGTTGGTGCCCAAATTCTACCAATTCACAAACATGCAGACACCACAACAACCAACAACGACAACGACCAACAACACAAAATTTAATTTTGCTAACAAGTTTCATACCCTTTCCGTAGGCTGCCGCGGCTGCACCGGGGGGCGGCGGAGGTGGCAGCAAATAGCACCAGGCAGGGCGAAGAGAAGGAAGGTGAAAAGCAGCAAGAGAAGGTTTGGAAGCTTAAGACTTCTTCGGTCCGACAAGAATGTTAAGTGTCCCTAAAAATCTAGAAACAAATCATTAGTGCGTGAGCTATCCTGCGTCCAGTAGCTAGTAGCTAACTCGTAGCTAGTACCGAACCACTCCCTTACTTAGTTGAGCAGGGACGCTTGCGAGAAAATTGTCCCGGCAAGAGACCCCAAACAGTGTGTCTAAAGGTCTAAAGTCTGGAGGTGTAGAAGCAGAAGGTCTAGAGATCCAGACACATTAGGCTCCAGAGACGTGATGGTGGCGGTGATGAAGGTGGTGATCGTGGTGATGGTGGTGGTGGTGGTGGTCGTGGTGGTGGTGGTGTGGCGGTGATGTGATGTTCACCACCCTAAGTAACCTTGTGTATACAGCCGCATATACACTTGAAGGGATCGGATGTTTCGAGCTGCACTGACACGTCAGTGTTTGCGGCCGATTTTTGAAGGGCAGGTCACACGCTAAACGAGAAGTGCACCAAGTCCCAAAGAACCTCACGCCGATCGGTTCGTGCACCCCGCACAAATCGAGAAGAACCAACCCGCCACGATGACATTGCTCAAGGTGACGCGGAAAAATCATTGCGGCGCTGGGTGCGGGAACCGCGCGTCGTTTATCAAGGGTCGCGAAATTTGATTAGGCTGCGCAGTGTCAGACCTCGTGCTGACAAAGTCTAAGACAGTCGTGCCACTTGATTCTCTAATCTCTCCAAACGGCTGGACTCACCACCGACTGGATCGGCCTCGCGCCGAGTACGTGTCTGAGAGCGTTGTGTGGATCTTTGACGGTGGCTTGTGCTTCCAGCTCCTCCAGACTTTGCCATGGTGCAACTCTCCAAGGAAGTGATGTCACAACAGAACCCACAAGTAGAGTGGAAACTGGTGCATTTTCACGGCTCCGCTACCATATGAAGATTCAAACTTCAGTGGGCAGCAGATCATCCACTTGCAGTCTGCTTCGAAGGCTAGTCCTCCCAGCTGATCCCCCAACCGGTGCCACTCCATCAACCGCACCACATGTCACCCAGCCTACTCCGGCGAATACATACGATATAGGTAGTCGGAATGCCATGCTTAGTTGCCGGCTTCTCTGTAGAAGTTAAAACATGTTATAACTGTGTTATGAGGTGCTTATAACATATTTATGGCAACGTACATCTTCTTTAACTATCTTAAGTGTTAACCATAGTTGTCAAAGTTATAACTATTTTCTGTACATGTAAGATACACACATCTAGTTTTAACTTCTGTAAGTTTTAGATGCACCAACGACAGAACTGAACATATGAAATCTTGAAAACTTAGAGAAGTTACCGAACTTGTCTTTTTCATGTTCAAGCTTGCTTTTGGGTTTTGAAGACTCCTTTTGCCCCAAGCATCAGCTGCGGCATACAGCCCGCACGCGCGCTGAAGCAACAACCTTGCAGAAGAAATACGAAGTCTCTGCCGGCCGGCCCACATCTAGTGAAGTTGGTTTGACGTTTTTGCGGGCCAAGGGCCCGCATGAAGTAAAGAAGACGGGCCAACAACCAGTGTAAGATTTAATCCAACGCCAGGATCAATAGACTTTGCACCGGTTTCTGTCAAGTCAAAAGTCCATTGGCGTTTTCGCGCTAAATGATTCGAAATGTATCTTTTTGTATCTTTCAGACCAGGGTTCAACAGGCACGTTTACATACATGTATCTTCTCCACCCGGGGCAAAAGATACAAAAAGGCACATTTAGAACGTACAAAAAGATACCTTTTTATACATTGAGTAACATTTCCATTTATAGCTAAACGCTGCCCTATTGATTCCATAGAGCTTAGGGTCAAGGGTTACGCCAATACAAGTTGTTAAAAACACGCGGCCAGTGTCTCCTCTTCCAGCGCGTTTCGTTGTCAACTACCTTAGACACGCCCGAAACAAACCAACACAAGCCAGCAGACCTTAACAAATAATTCTTGGGGCGCCCTCTGTTTAGGCTTCTCCAAGGCTTTTGGAACTAAAAAGGGCAC